ACTCCTTGTGCCTGTCCTCAAGGACGTCCGTGCCAAGGGCACACTCACCCCCGATGGATGGAGGACAGGCAGACTTAGACTCAGCGACAAGACTAGCAGCGTAGTCTAGACGACAGCGCGCAGCAAAGTCGACAAGCTCAGTGACAAGGGCAAATGCAGCAGACGACTCAAAAGAAGGGTCGGTGACAGCAGTAGCAAGGAGACGCGTGAGAGTAGGACTGGCAGCACGAAGAGAGTCCGACGCCGGGTCGGCACGAGCAGGAAGAGAGGAAGCAGGAGGAGAAGGTAACAGGGCACGCAGAGGAGCAGTGGACGCACGCAGAGACATCCGGTGCGTGCCAGGGACAGGAGGAGGACGGTGACGTGAACCGCGGCCACTAGTGCGTGCAGGACGAACAGGCAACGCAGGATGAGACGCAGGCTCACGACGCTCAGTAAGACCTCCAGTCGGACCAGCGTAGGGAGAAGGAGCAGGCAAAGGGGAGGCAGGCTGTAGCTGTGACTGGGACTAGACAGGCTGTGGACCCTCTAAGGGAGGAGGAGGAGGACCAGGAGAAGGTGGAAGACCAAGAACCTGCTGCAGGAGCGGAACGAAGTACGGTCGGGGACGCGTGGCGACGCCTGGGACAGTAGGGACAGCACCAGTACCCCCAGAGGGGGGAACCCGCTCCAGCAGCACCTCCAGCAGCTCCAGAACCCCCAGCAGTACCAGAAGCACTGCTAGTCGGACCGCCACCAGTAGACTCACCGCCAACACCCTCAGAAGCACCAGCTCCTGGAGGACCCTCAGGCCCAGCAACTCCAGCACCCACAGCACGAGCACCTCCGGGACGCGCGGCAGCAGCACCCTCTGCAGCCGAAGAACCTCCAGCACCAGCAGCACGCCTCCAGCGCCGGGCAAACCACTCACGTAGCTCCTGTGGGGAGAGTGGCTCGCGGCGAGACGAAGCACCTCCACGCGGAGCACCCCCAGTCTCAGCACCTCCAGGCTCAGCACCCCCAGGCACAGCACCCCCAGACTCAGCACCCCCAGGCTCAGCACCCCCAGGCTCAGCACCCCCAGACTCCGCACCCCCAGGCTCAGCACCCCCAAACATAGCACCTCCAGTCCCAGCACCCCCAGGCTCAGCTCCCGCAGCAGCACCAGAGTCACCAGTGACCTCGACAGACTCGACCGCGTCTACCTGGGACACACCTTAAGGGGCAGGACCCTGAGGGGGGAGGGGGTCTACCGGGGGGGGACCTGGTACCAAGAAGAGCGGGGGCGAGGGAAGGGACGGAGTGCGGTAGGGGAAGAGGCGGTAGTAGGGTACCGACTCGTCGAACGTGACGTCCTAGGAGGACAGAACACATCGAGAGGTGGGGTGGCAGAACTGCCCCCCAGGGGCGTCGGGGGGGAACCCCAGGAAGACGCAGGGAGCAGCGCGAGGGGACAGCTTGTCCGCAGACAAGTCGCGGACAAACGCCCGAGATCCCCAGACCCGAAACGCCGACGCATCGCCAACCTTCCCCGTCCACAGCAGGGCTGGGGAGGTCTCCGGCCTGGAGACCCTGGGGTGGAGGTTGAGCTAATGCGCCGCGTACCTGACCGCAAACGGCCACAGAAAATGGGAGGCAGCCGCATGCATTATGGACGTACGAGCGACGTCCATGACCATGCCAATGCGGCGCTCAGCAATCCCATTTTGCTGCGGTGAGTCCGGAAGCGTGAAGGTCTGGCGGATGCCTCGCGCACGACAGTAGGCACGCAGAAGGCCAGAGGAGAACTCTCCGCCTCTGTCCGAGTGCAGACGCAACACAGGAAAGTCCGAGCCAAAGCTCTGCCTGAGCTGGAGACGAGCTGCGCGGATCCAGTCGATCAGCACCTCAGTGACATCACCCTTGCTACGCAAGGCGAAGACTGTGGTGTAACGCGAGTAGTCGTCAACCACCAACAGGAAGTAGCGCTCGTGACCGAGTCCACGGACGCGGGCAGGGCCCCACACGTCCATGTGAAGCGTCTGCAACGGAGCCTCTGTCGGAGGAAACTGGGAGGAGTGAGGGGCAGCACGCTGGCGCCCCTCGACACAGGGGACACAGGTAGGGCCAGGGCCCTTAGGGAGGGGAGGGAGAGACCGGGGAAAACCAGACACAAGAAGACGGGAGGCCATGCCTCTGAGCCGAAGCAGAGAGGGGTGACCAAGGCGGTGGTGCCAGAGAAGAGTCTCGTGAGACAGGCGAGGACACGAACAGGGGGCAGACTCAGGGCCAGACCTGGACGCTGCAGCAAACACCTGACCTGACGAAGGGACCCTACCAGACTCAAGAACTGGAGGAGAAGCAGTGGTCAGTGTGTACAGGCTCGACCCTGGCTGACGTGTGAACGTAGCCAGGTGACGACCCGTGCTAGCCTCTGTGCAGTGCGTCACTCGCTGACGAGCACGGGTGAACTGGTGGACTCCCGCATCCTGTAGGTCAGCACCACTCACCAAGTTCGTAGAGAACGAGGGGAGGTAGAGACCAGACAGGGTGCCAGAGGGAGCCGCCGGACACGAGAGGACTGTGGAGAAGCGAGACAGGACAGGACCCCCAGAGGGGTCAGCCAGGGAAACCGCAACCGGCCGACTAAGCGGCGTGAGTGTGGTGCGGTCCCGAAAGAAAGAGCGAGACGCTCCAGAGTCAAGGGTGAAGGTGTGGGAGGCCGAAGCCGACGCAGTACCTGAGAGCGCAGACGCACTAGTACCTGAGAGAGCAGCCTCACCAGCACCTGAGAGCAAAGACGCACTGGCACCTAGAGTAGAAGCCTCACCAGTACCTAGAGCAGCAGTACCAATGCCCGGATCGGGCGGGAAACACCGGTAACAGTCACCCTCATCACTAATGGTCACAGCATACATGGCAGCAAGGTTAGCATCAAAATCAAGATCAAAGATAGCTACCCCCACACTGCTCTCCAGTGCGGTCGCCAGTGCGGAGAACGTAGGTGCAGGGACCAAAACCCCCACCGCGCTGACGCTGCGTGTACCACTCACGGAGCTGCTGAGGGGTGGGGACGTCGCGAGAACGCTGCTGCTGCTGCTGCTGCTGCTGGCGCTGACCGCCCCCAGTGCCTCTCCGCTGCGAAGCTCCACTCCGACCACCTCCACCTCCGCCACCCCCGCCTCCGCCTCCACCGCCCCCGCCTTCGCTTCCACCGCCAACACCTCCGCCACCTCCGCTACCACCGTCACGCCGCCGCCACCCCCGCCTCCACTGCCGCCACTAGCACCCCCACCCCTGCTACCACCTCCACCGCCACCCCCACTCCCTCCGCCGCCTCCACCTCCACCGCCACTGCCCCCACTGGCCCCACCCGCTCCCTTGCCCCCCTTGCCCTTGCAGAAGCGGCGTCTCCCGCTAGGGGCAGACGCTGCACCGACCGACTCAAGACCAACGAGGTCGGCCGCAGCGGCAGAGGCGACAGAGGGCAGGAGAGGGGAAGGAGAACACCCTCAAAGATGGGGGCGCGGGGGTCACCTCGAGAGGCTCCTACAGCAACTATGCTCTTCTCTGCTGCAAGGAGGGCCTTCTCGAGGCTGTCGACTGTGAGGGTGGTGGGACAGACCGCGAGGAAGTGGTCCCGGACTACACGAAGGGAGTCAGGGAGGCGAGTGACTAAGAAGTAGAGAGTGATGTACATGGGGGGGGGGGTTCTTGGCGCAGAAGTCAGCAGGAAGCGCAGCGCGGTAGCGAGTGACACTAGTGCGGAGGTGTGTGATGAGATCAGCGACAGTGGGAAAGGCGGCAAGGTCAGGGAAGAGGAAGGGGAGCATGAGGCGGCTCAGTGCAGCAATGGCAGGGGAGGAGTAGCGCGCAACTACAGCGTCGTACAAGGTTTGAGCACTCTTGTACTGGCTAAAGTGCGCGCGCTCAGCGGTAGGCAGGTGGTGACGCACAGCAAGATGTGCAGCAGCATCGAGCGTGGCCCACTGAGAGCGAACAGTGGCGTCAGCATCAGCAGCAAGGGCAGGGACGGCGCCAGAGGTGAGGTCAAAGAGAGACAGACCGTCCGCCCTATCGCACTGTAAAAACAGCTGCAGGTCGTCGAGCCAGACCTCAAAGTCAATGGCTCGACCCTCAGTGTCAAAAGCGAGGACACTGGGTGTAGCCATGACGACGACAGTGGAGCAGTGCAAGCAGTAGGGGAAGGGTACGCAGTGACAGCGGTGCGGTGCTCACCGGGCAGGGCAGGTCGGGCGGCTCGGGAGGAAGGTCGCCTGGCGACTCGCCGGCTAGGCTGCTGGGCGGCTCAGCTCCCGGGCGGCTCGGCTGCTGTTGGGCGGCTCGGCTGCTGCTCGGCGGCTCGGCGGCTCCTGGGCGGCTCGGCTGCTCCTGGGCGGCGCGGCGGCTCGGCTGCTGCAGGGCGGCTCGGCTGCCGCTGGGCCGCGTAGGTAGGGCGGTCGGGCCGTAAAGGTAGGGCGGCGGGTGGGCCGCAGGTAGGGCGGCGGGTGGGCCGCAGGTAGGGCGGCGGGTGGGCCGCAGGTAGGGCGGCGGGTGGGCCGCATGTAGGGCGGCGGGACGGCCGCAGGTAGGGCGGCGGACGGCCGCAGGTAGGGCGGCGGGTAGGCCGCAGATAGGGCGGCGGGACGGCCGCAGGTAGGGCAGCGAGTGGGCCGCAGGTAGGGCGGCGGGTGGGCCGCAGGTAGGGCGGCGGGACGGCCGCAGGTAGGGCGGCGGACGGCCGCAGGCAGGGCGGCGGGACGGCCGCAGGTAGGGCGGCGGGTGGGCCGCAGGTAGGGAAGCGGCGGGGCCGCGTCGAGGAGGCGGCGGGGCCGCGTCGAGGAGGCGGCGGGGCCGCGTCGAGGAGGCGGCGGGACCGCGTCGAGGAGGCGGCGGGGCCGCGAGGGGAAGGGCGACACGGAGGGTCGCGAGAAAAAAGAACGCGCGCCTCGGGGCGCGCTTCGGTGGGCCCTAGAGAACAGTCCCTAGGATGGGACCTGCTCTGATTCCATGTGAAAATAGAAACGTGAAATGAAATGACTATGAGCGAAGTGAGTACAAATAGGAAACCCTAATTGGGTTGTACCCCCTATGGGATACCCCACTATAGCCAACACAGATGAGTAAGCTATAATGTTCTGACAGGTGCTGAGCCTGGGGGTGCTGCGACTGGGGGTACTGAGCCTGGGGGTGCTGAGCCTGGGAGTGCTGAGTTAGGGGGTGCTGAGCCTGGGGGTGCTGCGACGGGGGGTGCTGAGCCTGGGGGTGCTACGTCAAGAGCTGCTGAGCCAAGGGGTGCTACTGAGCCTGGAGTTGCGGAGCCTGCGACCACTGGACCTCCCCCCCTGGCGTCTGGCGGTGCGGGGCCTGGAGGCTCTCCGGGTGCTTTGTCTCGGCGGGAGCCACTCTCTCCACACTGGAGACGTACTGCTGGAGCTGGAGCTTCTTCGGGTCCGCCTAGCGCTGGAGCTACTGAGGGTGTTGGTGCTGAGACTGCTGCTATCCTTCCTGGCGGTGGTCCTACTGCGGGTGCTGCTGGAGGTTCTGCTGCTGGAGGTGCTGTTGGCGCTGGTGCTGTCGTTGAGGGTGCTGGTGCTATCCCTGCTGTGTCTGAAGTTGCCGCGCGGCCTCGGCCGTACTTCGTTCCGCTCCTGCAGCTGGTTCTTGGTCTTTCTCCTTCAGTAGAGTGTCCACCGCCTGTCCATTCATTGTCACAGTTACCGCCGGCCTCCCCACTGCCTTCTCCTTCTCCGTACACTGGTCCTACTGGAGGTCTTGCTGAGCGTCGTGAGCCTGCGTCCCGTCTTGCGTCGCCTATTCGTGCTGCTCGCACTAGTGGTCGCAATTCGCGTCAGCGTCCTCCTCCTGTCCCTGGCACGCACCGGATATCTCTGCGTCCGTCCACTGCTCCTTTGCGTGCCCCTTTGCCTTCTCCTCCTGAGTCCTCTCTTCCTGCGCTTGCCGACCCGGAGTCAGACTCTCTTCGTGCTGCCAGTCCTACTGTCACGCGTCTCCTTGCTACTGTCGTCACTGACCCCTCTTTTGAGTCCCCTGCTGCGTCTGCGCTCGTTGCTGAGCTCGTCGACTTTGCTGCTCGCTGTCGTCTAGACTACGCTGCCAGTCTTGTTGCTGAGTCTGTGTCTGTCTGTCCTCTGTCCGTCGAGGGTGAGTGTGCTCTTAGCATGGACGTCCTTGAGGACAGGCAGGAGGAGTTCCAGTGTCTGGCTATTGCTTCACCTCATCTCGCGTCCGTACTGCTTACCCCTAAGGGAGACCCGGATGCACTAGACATCCCGACTCCGCGCTCTTACGCGGAGGCCGTAGAGGGTCCCTACTCCTCTCAGTGGCAGGCAGCTATGGATGCAGAGACGGCTTCCTAGAAGTCCACAGGCACCTACGTTGACGCGGTTCCCCCTCCTGGCGCGAACATCGTCAGTGGCATGTGGATCTTCAGGGTGAAGCGGCTGCCGGGCTCTCCACCTGTCTTCAAGGCGTGGTACGTGGCTCGTGGCTTCAGTCAGAGGCAGGGAGTTGACTAGTTTCAGACCTTCTCTCCCACCCCGAAGATGACCACTCTTTGGGTGCTGCTGCACAAGCGACTACGAGCTCCACTCTCTCGACTTCAGCACTGCTTTCTTGCAGGGTAGCCTGCACGAGGAGATCTGGCTGCGCCGTCCACCTGGCTTCACTGGGACTTTCCCTCCTGGCACCCCGTGGAGCCTTTGACGGCCAGTCTACGGTCTCCGCCAGGCACCACGTGAGTGGCACGACACACTGAGGACTACGCTTGCGGCTCTTGGGTTTGCTCCCTCTACTGCTGACCCGTCGTTGTTTCTGCGCACCGGCACTTCTCTGCCGCCGTTCTACATCCTCGTGTACGTCGACGACTTGGTCTTTGCCACAGCGGACACTGCTGGTCTCGCCTACGTGAAGTCCGAGATGCAGAAGAGACACACGTGCACTGACCTGGGTGAACTGCGCAGCTACCTTGGCTTGCAGATCACTCGGGACAGAGCACGCCGCGCCATTACCTTGACTCAGTCACACATGGTGCAGCAGGTCCTTCAGCGCTTCGGCTTCACGTACTCCTCGCCTCAGGCCACTCCTCTGTCTACTCGCCACTCGCTCTCAGCTCTGCCTTCGGATGAGTCCGTAGAGTCGAGTGGCCCGTACCTAGAGCTTGTTGGCTGCCTTATGTACCTAATGACCTGCACACGACCTGACCTTGCATACCCTCTTAGCATCTTGGCACGCTATGTTGCTCCTGGGAGACACCGACCAGAGCACATGGCTGCAGCGAAGAGGGTGTTGCGCTACTTGTGCAGTACGTCGGGCATGGGGCTAGTGCTTGGAGGGCGGAGTCCAGTGGTTCTCTTTGGGCACGCGGACGATTCTTGGGCTGATGACCAGGCTACTCTGCGGTCGTCGCAGGGTTACACCTTCAGTCTTGGTTCCGGCTCTGTTTCGTGGCGGGCTACTCGCTCGTCTTCTGTTCTCGGCTCCTGTTGTGAGGCTAAGATCTACGCCGGGGCCATGGCTGCTAAGGAGCTTCGCTGGCTCACCTACCTGCTGATCGGCCTTGGAGAGCCGCCTCGTTCTCCTCCAGTGCTGTACGTAGACAACAAGGCCATGCTGGCCTTGTGTCGAGAGCAGCGCCTGGAGCACAGAACGAAGCACATTGCTCTTCGCTACTTTCTTGCTCGTGAGCTGCAGCAGCGTGGTCAGTTGCGACTTGCGTACGTGGCCTCTGAGGCCAACACTGCTGATGTTTTCACCAAGGCACTTCCGCCTTGTGATCATCAGCACTTCTGCACTCAGCTGGGACTTGTCCCTGTCTTTCCTCACTTGCTCACCTCTTGACCTTACTTGTACTCTTGCATATATATATACCTACTCTTGCTTGTTTAGACTTATATATATATGTCTCCTCCTGCATGGGAACTGGCCTTGTGGCCTTGACCTTGTGCTCAGACTGTGTGGTGACGTTGTGATCCACCCTGAGCTTGCTTTGCTTTGCTTTGCTTGACTAGTCTTGAGACCTCTTGTTCTCCCCCACTTTGCCTATGGGGGTGTGTCAGAACATCATAGCTTATGCTGTTGTGTAGGCTATAGTGGGGTATCCCATAGGGGGTACAACCCAATTAGGGTTTCCTATATGTACTCACTTCATTCATAGTTCATCCATTTTCGCGTTCACTTCTTCACAAGAACTCCCAGAAGCAGTATGCCGATCGTTAGCGACGTGATCACTCAGTAGCAGTCGGAGATCAGGTGCTTCTTGACACGCGCAACTTGAACCTGTCTCACCTCCCATCCAAACTCCGGCCTCGCTTCTGTGGTCCTTTTCTCGTTGAGGCATAGGTGACACCAGTTACATTCCGCTTGCGCTTATCAGATACATGGAAGCTTCACAACGCTTTCCATGTCCAGCTACTGAAGCCCTACAAGGACCCCAACCAACAGTTCCAGGGACGGCAACTACCGCCACCACCACCTGTTCTCATACAGGATGAACCTGAGTACGAGATCGAGCGCGTTCTCTCTCATCGGCGCCGCGGTGGCAAGACTCTCGAGTTCCTGATACGCTGGAAGGGATACGACCCCACTGAGGACAGATGGGTTGCAGAAGCTGATATGGGCAACGCACGCCGTGCTCTCAAGGACTATCTTGTCAAGCAGGGTGTATCTCACGCCACCCAGCTTTGAGGGGGGGACGTGTGAGAGTACGACGGCTTATGCCAGCTATGCTTGCTTGCCTCTACTTTATCATGCTATTTCTAGCATAGGATAATCATATGCATGCATGAATTGCTTGATTTCCTAGGCTAGGTGCTTTCCTATATTTTATTATAGTTATAGCACCGAGCTAGGTTGCGTGCACCAAATTCTGGCCTTTTCGGTTGCCACCAAATTGCCTTCTACCGAATTCGGTAAGGATCTGTTCGGGACGCTTCGCGACCCGCGGAACCTTAGCGTAACACCTGGTTACGGGGCCTTGTGTCGAGCCTATATATAGCCTCGTGTTGTACCCAGGTGGACATTCAATTCAATTCAATTCGACTCAATTCTCATTCTCTTTTCTGAACTCGATCCTAGATCCTCACAAAGTCGGCCTATGCTTCGGGGCTAGCCCGAACCTTGCTTCAAGCGCCGCACTAGGTAGCTCGCATGTTATGATCTGTACAGAACAGAGTGCGCGGAAGACTTTATAAAAAGGATGTGATTATAGAATGAAGGAACAATGAGGAAAAGGGCAAATATAGGGTGGAAACGTGCTAGGCGAGGACCTTGGGACGTGCATGGGTTGGAAGTGTCGCGATTGGTGTGGGGCGACTCGGAATGTGGTTTGGGCCAAAGTGCAGGCCGGCGCAGGTGTCCGGTCCGTCCTCGTTAGGAGCAGACTCTACAGTAATGAGTTCCCATTCATTACATTACATGCACTGCGTGACTTTTTTCTTGTTTTGCTATAAATGTTCGTTCATGCCTTTGCTCGCATTTTGTACTCTTTTGCCAACTTAGTGCAATCCTTGCTACTTTGATACATTGCACCCGTACCAGTGTCTCGAAAACGTATTGTACATGTAGTACATGTATCTTGCTCCACCTCCGCCTCCTCCACTACTTCCGCCGCCTCCGCTCCCACCGCCACCTCCACCGCCTCCGCCGCCTCCACTGCCGCCGCCGCCGCCGCCACCCCCGGCACCACTCCCACCACCACCCCCACTCCCTCCACCGCCTCCACCACCACCTCCACCGCCCCCTCCACCCCCTCCTGCGCCCTTGCCCCTCTTGCCCTTGCTGGTGCGGCGTCTCCCGCTCGGGGCAGATGCAGCGCCGACCGACTCGAAACCAACGAGGTCGGCCGCAGCAGCAGAGGCAACAGAGGGCAGGAGGGGGGAGGGAGAACACCTCTAAAAGACGGGGGTACGAGGGTCTCCACGAGAGGCTCCTACGGCGACTATGCTCTTCTCTATCGCTAGGAGGGCCTTTTCGAGGAGGTCAACGGTGAGAGTGGTGGGGAAAACAGAGAGGAAGTGGTCCCTGAATATTCGAAGAGAGTCAGGGAGCCGGGTGACTATATAGTAGAGGGTGATGTACATGCGGGGGGGGTTCTTGGCGCAGAACCCAGCTAGAAGCGCAGCGCGGTAGCGAGTGTCACTAGTGCGGAGGTGCGTAATGAGGTCAGCGACTGTGGGAAAGGCAGTAAGGTCAGGGAAGAGGTACGGTAGCATGAGGCGGCTCAGTGCAGCAGTGGCAGGGGAAGAGTAGCGTGCAACTACAGCGTCGTACAAAGTTTGAGCACTCTTGTACTGGCTAAAGTGTGCACGCTCAGTGGTCGGTAAGTGGCGGCGCACAGCAAGGCGAGCAGCAGCATCACGGGTGGCCCACTGTGAGCGAACAGTGGTGTTAGCATCAGCAGCAGGGGCAGGGGAGGCACGAGAAGTGAGGTCAAACAGGGAGAGGCCGTCTGCCCTATCGCACTGCAGCTTTTCCTGCAGACCTCTAAGCGGGGCCGTAAAGGGGCCGACGGGGCCGTAGCGGGGCCGTAGCGGGGCCATAGCGGGGCCTAAGCAAGGCCGAAGAGGCCGAAGCGGGGCCTAAGCGGGGCCGTAGCGGGGCCGTAGCGGGGCCTAAGCGGGGCCGACGGGGCCGACGGGGCCGTAGCGGGGCCGACGGGGCCTAAGCGGGGCCGAAGGGGCCGTAGCGGGGCTGTAGCAGGGCCGACAGGGTCGTAGCTGGGCCATAGCGGGGCCTAAGCAAGGCCGTAGCGGGGCCGCGACGGGGCCATAAGCGGCCTAAGCGAGGCTGTAGAGGGCGGCTTGAGGGGCAGTAAGGGCGGCCAACAGGGGCCACTAAGGCGGCTCGAGGCGCTACTCGGGTTAGGAGCTAAGCGCGCTACGGGCAGGGAAGGAAAAAAATGTTCGTGGTGGGCCCTAGGCAGTATTCCTACTCAGGAACCTGCTTGATACGATAACGAGAAGTGAGAATGGAATGGATAAACTATGAAACAGTTGGGTACAAGTACTAACCCTTATTGGGTTGTACCCCTTATGGGCTACCCCACTACAGCCTACACAAATGTATAAGCTATAATCTTCTGACAGAATGATGTGCATGGAGCAGAATGAGGAGTACAAGTAGTAAACCCTAAAGTGTTGTACCCCATATGAACTGCCCCACTACAGCCTACACAGACTATAGCATATATGCCTAACACACCCCCATAGGCAAAGTGGGGGAGAACAAGGGGTCACAAGACCAGTCAAGCAAAGCAAAGCAAGCTCAGGGTGGATCACAACGTCACCACACAGTCCGAGCACAAGAGCAAGGCCACAAGGCCAGCTCACATGCAAGATCATATATATAAAGGGAAACAAGC